TATATATATATATATATACAGCGAAGGAGAAGAAGAAAGAAAGTGAAGGAAGGGGAAGAAGACGGCGAGGGTGACAAAGGTGGTAGTGCTGGCAGCCATAGCCGAGGTTGAGGGTTGACTGGGCGTTGACCAGAGCGTTGACCAAGGGTTGACCAGAGGGTTGACCAAAGGGTTGACCAGGCGTTGACCAGGCGTTGACCGAGGGTGTTGACCAAGCGTTGACTCGGGGTTATCCGCGTTGACTCAGCGTTGACCAAGGCGTTGACCGGAGTTGCTGACCAAGATTTTGACCAAGCTGGAATTGGTGATATCTCGCTGAGCCCTTAGCCTATACCCTTACCCTGTGGATGTGCACTCACCCCACGGTACTTGCTGAGTTGTCTGTCTACTCTTTCTGCATTGAGTCTCTTCTGTCTTAGGTGCTAGGACTCTGTGGATGAAGGATAGGGCCTTGCTGCCAAACCTGCACGGGCTTAGTAGGACCAAAGCTCTACTCTGGCACTTGGAGACCTGGGCATGAGCGGCGAGCGCTCGTTAAACAACTCGTCTAGCCCAATAACCGGTACTGTTCGGCAGGTCTACTGAGTTCAGTGTGGAGGGTCTGAACTCCGAGCTGTAGGCTGAAACGAAGGCCGTCTTTAAGTGTTGAGGCCTGGTTGAGCCACTCCCCTACCAAACCCAGAAGGCTGATGATCCGTGTCTGACGACTCGACTGTCCCGAGGGATACGAACCCCTCCAAGGACCGGTACTGACCGGCGGGCTGCTCGGTGTGGTACAGGAGGCTGGACGGGCTGAGTTGTGGGCTGAAATCGCCAGTGGAACCAAGCTGATCGCGTCGTCCTGTCTGCGACATTAAAGAATTCTTGCGAAGTTTGGGGGATCTTCTTAAATACCTCCTGATCAGCTCTTGGTTCTGTAGTGACAGCCTTAGAGTAGTCTTGGGTTAGTTGTGATCATCATTGACATGGTCTTATCCTGTGGTCCTTAGGGAGTSAGTYAGTAGGTTAGAGTGTCCGGGTAGGTCTACGTGGTGAGGAGWGGGACCTTTGTCGTGCACCAACACCACGATGRATGACTATCCGATGTATGGGCTACTTGTTGGGTTCTCCCTCTGGGGGACCCTTTGGCGTCTCCTCTTTCCTCTGGGCTTTTGGCCCACTTTCACGTGTAGAGTAGGGCCCACTCGTGGTGGGACTTCCACCAACCCCTACACGAAAGAGGAGGAGGAGAAGATGGTCGCCATTCTGCAGTAGAAGGAGAAGAAGGAGGCCAAGAAGAAGGCCTTGAAGGAGGAGCAGGCGGCCAAACTGAAGAAGATGAGGAAGAGATGGCCAAAGAGAAGGAGAGGATACAGAAAGAAGAAGAAGAGAAGTTGAAAGAGGTGGAAGAGGAGGAAGAAGATGAAACGCCATTGCAGAGGAAGAGGGTGCARTACAGTGGTARTAGGGATGAAGAGATGGAGAAGYGAATCTCCGAGTGGGTCGCCAACTTATCCCTGGGCGAAGAAGAAGAGGTGGCGATGTATATCTCTAAAGATGATCAGGAARCCGCTATGAGAGCTTGGGAAGTAGAAAAGGATGTTGTGAAGCGGCAGGCATTGGAAGACGAAAAGAGGATGGAGTGGAAGTTGGCAGTGATGAGGGRGAAGAAGAGGARAGTGGACGCGGCAGCGGAGGCGKCAGAARAATTAGAGGAAGTAAAGAATATAGAAGAGCAACTGGCCGCCCAGACCGAACTCCCAGCGCAAATGCGAGTCATAGCCCGAAACGTTACACGCCTGGCACGAATTCAGGCGGAGCAATATGRTTTTAGTAGGAGTCAACACATAGCTGTGCGTTCCATAAAGTTGGGGTTTCGGGACTTTGCGCGTGAGCTGGTAGGCGCTATAGGGACGGAGGTGGGTCACCGCCTCGACAAGACTGAGCGGTTTTTGTGCCGGCGCCATTGAGGGCGTCACAGCTCCCAAGGAGGAGGAGGCACGTCCTCCTCGTTGGGAACCGGTCAAAGTCAAATTCCCTGATTCCTACAGTGGAAAAAGGGAAGAGAACTTCGACAATTGGGAGGCCAATGTCAAGACCTATGTGCATCTGCAACAGGTCTCCCCGGATCAGCAGGTTCTGATTGCGATTCACGCGCTCAGAGATGAAGCCGCCAGCTTTGCAAGGTCCCTAGTTCGCGCTGCCAATTGCAGCGATGACCCCGTTGCGTACTCCTCATTCACTTCCCTCACTGAGTTCTTGAAGCTGTTGCGCGAGAGGTTCGTCGATGTTGCCCGTAGTGTTAAGGCCTCAGACAGGCTGCAGACGATCCACGCTCGTAAGTGGAAGAGCGCCAAGGCACTTAAGAGTACCATGGACGAACTGGTAGCTGTCCCTGACCACGGAGTTACAGACACCCAGTTGGTTGGCCTCTTTTATCGGGCTATACCCGAAGCCCTCCGAGGGCATTTCTTCGCAAAGAGCGAAGACCCTGCCACTACATACGATTCCCTTAGTCGCGAAGTAGTGGCTTTTGAAGCCAAGTGTGCGTCTGTGTCCACTTTCTGGCACAAGGACTTGGACAAGGGTAAGCAATGGAAGGGCCGCACTATCTCAGGGCAAGTAAAGACCAAGGACAACCTTGTCCTAACCTTAGATGAGGGTATTGTGGATGAGATCCCCTATGACCAGATTGAGTGGGGGTTAGAGGAGGAGGACAGCGGTGTGGGCCAAGGGAGATCTTACGCTGGTGTCGCGGCTGGAGGGAGGCCGCAAGGAGGAAGAGGCCAGGGCCAAGGGGGCCGGGCCTCAGGGAGTCGATTTCAGGGCGATCAGGGGGTTGGCGGCAGAGGAGGAAACCGCCAAGCGGGAGGTAGGGGTCAAGGTCCCCCGCAAAACCGTCCTAGGAATAGGTCTCCCTATAGAATAGGAGGATGACACCCAGGGCTACCTCAGGGTAGGCCTTGGGAATCTTTGGGTCTGGACCAGGCTTTATGGCAACAACGATT